ATATGGCACCCGCTCCCTGTAGCATGCCGGTGGCCGTCCCCATGGAAGCACAGCTAGTTGACATGCCCTCAGAATGCCTACCTAAGGCGGCCAGGATTCGTTCACGTAATACACACAACACTCACAGGAGTAAAACACCAGGGTTACACTGGGTAATATAATCCAAGATAATCTCAAACCTTCACCTCTCCCACCTCTTTTAGTTTCCTCTTGTGGGGATTGCTTGAGTGCACGTGCACCTAGCACAGCACAGGTGTGCCACAGAACTCAGAACCTGACACCATGACATGGGCCATTGAAGCCACTGAGCCATCTTCTGGGCCCTTTCTCAGTGGAGAGCCACAGAATGCCCCGGAGTTCTTGGGTGGCACTGGGGCTTGGACCTTCACTTGCAAGGCTAGTGATATAAACCACTGTGGATCAGCTGCCCCATCCAACAGGACTTTTCTCTAAGGTTCTTCACCCTCCTTCAGTGCCTTCTCCCAGACCCCCTGCAGGTAAGGCACAAGGGCTCCAAATGAACATCATCTCATCTGGGGGCGAGGGGGGACACCTGGTCAGGCTGAGAGCAGCAGGCCTTAGCAGAGTGAATAACCCAGGCTTCCTGCATGTACAGTCCTAGCTCTTTACGTGGAACTCTCTGACATAACTTGTGGCAGGAAGTAATGGTGGCTCATCTAATGCCAGAAACACCTAATCAAGATTCAACTGCAGGGGCTGGAGCAATAGCACAGCGGGTAGGGCGTTTGCCTTGCACGTGGCCGACCCAGGTTCGATTCCCAGCATCCCATATGGTCCCCTGAGCACCGCCAGGGGTAATTCCTGAGTGCAGAACCAGGAGTAACCCCTGAACATTGCTGGGTGTGACCCAAAAAGCAAAAAAAAAAAATTCAACTGCAAATTTGGTCTGGAATGTAGTGTACATGCTTAAGACGTGAAGGCCCTGGGTTTGATCCCTGGCGCTCCCTCCAAATGCTGAACGGCCAGAGCGAGAGTACAGTGGGGAGGGCGCTTGTCTGCACGAGGCCAACCCGGGTCCAACCCCTGGCATCCCATGTTCCCAGAGCTCCACCAGGAGTAATTCCTGAGCGCAGAGCCAGGAATAAGTTCAGAGCAACAAAAAACAACATAAAATGTTAAATTGAGGGGCGGAAAGCTAGTACAGGGGTGCAGGTACTTGTCTTGTACAGTCAGTTCCAGTTGTGCAGTCAATCCCCCAGCACAACACCTCATCCCCCAAGCACTGCCAGGAAAGACCCCTGAGCAGAGCCAGGAGTAGGTCCTGAGCAGGACAGATGTGTCCCCTGCCAGCCAAAAAAAAAATTTTAAGCAGAATACTGGGACACAACTAAGTAACACTGAAAGAATACCGTACTCACAAACCATAATGCTCCAAAGTAGAGAGACTAAGAAGGAAATTGTCTGGTATAGAAGCATGGGCACAGGGGACTGGGTAGGATGGAGGGTGGGGGGATACTGAGGACATTGGTGGTGGAAAACGTACACTGGTGGAGGAATGGGTGTTCGATCATTGTACGACTGAAACTCAAACATGAAAGCTTTGTAAGTGCAGCTCATTGGGAGTCAATTTTTTTTAAAAAGGCTAAAAAAAAAATACGGCACTCACAACCTAGCAAAGTGAAAAAGCAAGAAGAGGAAGCAACTCAAAGTGAAAAATGCAAGAAGAGGAAGTAATTGGCATCAAGTGCAGTTTCAGGAATTATATTGGGAACTTACAATTCTATTTCATTTAATCCTCGTAAGAGTTCATCCTAGTTTACAACTTGAAAACATTCAAATTTTCTCAAGGCTACATGATGAATGTTCCATGTAACTCTGGACCAGTAACTTTGAACCCAGATGAGCTGACTGGAAGGCCAGGCTATCTGAGTTCCAACTCCAGAGTTCATGGGTCCTCACAACACATCTTCCAAAACAGAACAAGGTACTGGGCAAACAGCTGATGCCTTTCTTCCAACTTCTTCTCATTGAAAGAGAAAGAAAATACACTGGATCACCTAGTAAATTGAAGTATTTACATGGATCTGTATTAACTGCTCAACAAATTCAGTCTCTGCAAAGAACTGAGCAAAAAGCAACATACATCCAAAGGCATGTTGTAGGGGACCACAACTCACAGTGCTTGGGGGCGGGGTTATCGAACTCAGGGCCAGGCAAGGCTGGGACTCCACCACTGAGGCCACCTCCTCCAAGGCACTATTTTTAATCTCGAAATAACCCATAAGATTAATTCTTCACAAACAATAATATCACTCCCATGCACTAATGTTACAGGAAAAAAATGCTAACAAGGGCACAGTCAGAGAAGATGTGTGTACAGTTCAGTTGTCACTGGGAAGTGAAACACTATAATTAGATAAATGAACTGTCATTCCTTAAATCAAAATGGAAATACCATATAATCCAGGGATACCATTCCCTGTCCGAAGGACATGGAAACACTTAATTCAAGAAGATTATCTGCACCAATATCTGTCCAAAGATCACAGCAGCATTACACACAATAGCTAAAGCATGGAATTATCCAAAGGCTCACCAACTGATGACAAGGTAAAGCTGTGGCATGAATCAATAGAATACCATTCTGCCAGTAAAAATTCAGTTGTTGCCATCTAGGACAAAATGGATGAAAATTAATGGTTATGCTAAGTAAAACAAGGAAGCCTAAGAAGTACGAAATGGTTTCACTGCTGTGAAACAAACAGGTAATGATAATTTTTTTAAAAAGGCCTCTATGAAAAATGGGGGGCAGCGGGAGTGGGGGGTCGAGAAGAGGGGTAAGGGGGAGGGGACGGGGAAATGGGTTGAGGGATCTTTTGGGTGGTGGGGTGAATCCCACACAAGCTATACCCCGAAATTCTGAAAATGAAAAATTCATTTTTAACAAAGGGGGAGGGTCTTATCCTTGCCTAAAAGGAAACCTCTTCTCAGTCAAGGGTGAGGGTCAGCCGGAAGAAAGCAAGTGAGGACAGAAAATTCTGATCAGCTGCATCTCCCCCCCCACCCCCGCCCCCCAGCACCCCAGCACCCCAGCACCCAAATTCCAATTTAGATGCCACAGGCTATTTTCAACTGAGGCAATTTACATTACATCAGCACTTTAAAGAAAAACCCATTCGTTTTCACACCTATCACAAACAAAAGAACCCAAGGTGCCACACTGCTCATCACGTGCCAGCAGACCGGAAGCTGTCAGTTAGCAATGAAGCGCCAAGGGTCCCCTACAAGTCACAGTGCAGGGGGTAAGCCCTGACCGGTATCACCACCTGGTAGTCCCAGACACCGCACTAATAACAGCACACGGAAAACACCACTGCGCTGCTCTTGGAACATCTTTAACGTGATCGTGTAAACTGTGACCTTTTTTTGGGGGGGAAGGAGGGGGCGGGCGAGCTAGGGTGCTTTCTCTGTCTCTCTCTCCCCGCTAACCTGTGACATCCTGCAAGGACATCCCGCTTCCCAAACTGAGATGCGCCAGCCAGCAAGCCTCGATTTTTCAGCCCGGTCCTTCCAGAACTGGTGGGAGAAACCCAGCCGCTACCTTATGCAACATCGCTTCACGTGCTCCAAAACAAAGTAAATACTGGGGGGCTCTCCAGGGGCCATACGCGGGTCCGTGCTTTTTCGGAAACGCCACTAATGGGCAACACATTAAGAGGCATTTCACAGAAGCCATCTGGCCTTGCCCGGTTCCCAAGCGTCCTAACAGTGAACCCGCCGCCACAACTCCAGGGATGGCATTTCTCACCAAGTTCATCCCCGCGCATCGGCTTCTGCACACCGGGATGGCACCACCTGGGTGGAAAAGCCCGAGCCCGGTGAACGAACGGTCCAGTCGCCTAGACCTCGAATTCCGGCGGCTCAAGCCTGTGTCCTGCTGGGGCCCTGGCACCGCGCTCCCGCCCCACCTGTGCCCGCAGCTCCCCCGCCACCCCCGGGCCGGGGCCGGGGTCCTGCCCTCGGCGCCCTGCAGAAGCAGCTACCGCCGCCGTCGGTGGGGTGCGTCCATCACCCCGGGGGGAGGCTGCAAGCGCTGCTTCCAGAAGCTTCGAGCACAGGGAAGTTTGTCAGGTCTTGGCATGTGGGCATGTCTGCCGTCCTTGGCACGGGTCACGTCACAGTGTAACCCTTTCACACACCGGTCCTCCCGCGGTCCACCGCGAGCATGGCCCAAAAAAAAAAAAAAAAAAAAGCCCCGTGCGTGCGCGCTGGCCATGCGCAAAGGCGTCCCCGCGGACACCGGAGCCCCAGCAGGTAGCGGCGGCGGCGCGGGCGCGAGCGCGGGGCTGGGCCGCGCCAGCGCTCCCCGGACCCCCCGCCGGCGTCAGGCGACCCCCGCCCCCAGCCCCGGGAAACTGGGGCCCCGGCGCCGCAGGCCGCGGGGCGCTGCGCAGTTCCCGGCGGGAGCGTCCACGCGCGCGCACGAGCGCGCGCGGCCAAGGTCACCACGCGCGCGGAGGGGATGCGGGAGCGCAGACACGGACCCCCCACGCCCCCCCAGGCCGGCGTCCGACCACCACGGCGAGGGACGCGGGGAGACCCGGCGCCCCGCCCCGCCCCGCGCGCCCGCCCCGCCTCCACTGCCCCATCTTCCGGGGTCCCTCCCCTCCCCCGACCTGGGGTCCCGGCTCCCTCCCCCGGCCGCGCAGACATCCCTCCCGACCCCCGCCCGGGCCGCCCCCTCGCCGCTGGGGAGCCCGCTCTGCACCCCCCGATTATGCAACGGCCCCCGCCGGCCCGAAACAAAGCGCAGGCGGCGGGGGCGGCCATGTTGGCGGGGGCGCGAACAAAGGCGCGGGGCCCGAGCCCCCCCCCAGCCCCGGGGCCCGGCCGGCAGGGGGCGCTGTGCGGGAGCCGCCGCCGCCGCCGCCGCCGCCGCCGCCGCCGGACAATGCGCACCCGGCCCGCAGCTCCCCGGGTGCCGCCGCCCCGCCGCCCCCACCCCCCGGCCGGCGCCGCTCCCCGCCCCGCCGCCTCACCTGCCGGCCGCCGTCCGCAGCTCCGCAGGGCCGCCGTCCCGCGCCGCGCTCCCGCCCCGGCCCAACCGAGCCAGACGGCGCCACCCCGCCCCCGCTCCCGCGCCGCGGCGCCGCCCGCCCCCGCCGCACGGCGCACGCGCACTGTTCCCGCCCCTCTGCGCCGGCCGAGCCGCCAGGCCCCGGCCCGCGGGCCGCACTGCGCAGGCGCCCCGGCGAGGGGCGGGGCCTCTCGGCGGGGCGGGGCCTGGCGGGGGAGGGCGGGGCCGATCGGCTCGGCTCTCACCTGGCGGCGGGGCTGACCCCGGCACCCGGCGGGCCCCGCGGGCGGGGTGGGCGGGGCCAGGCTGGTGGGCGGGGCCAGGGGGCGGGAAGGCCCGGGCGGGGTGGGGCACGGCCCGGCTGCGCTCACCTGCCGGCGGGCTCGGGCGGGCGGGGCCAGGCCGGTGAGCCCCAGGTGCGAGCGGCGAGGGAGCGATGACGTCCGGGCGCCGGGATCCTGGCTCGTGCCGGAAGTCAGGCATCCTGGGAAGTTTCCTTTCACTCGGGGAGAGTACTTTCTTTGCGGAGTGACCGGCCCCCCACCCCTTGCTCTCGGTTTAACCAGCTCGCCGGCCTGCGGCACGCGCCGTCGTGACCGTAAAGCGGTGCCCAGCCCCGCGCCCCGCCCGCTTCCCGCGCGGACCCCCAACGCCGCACTGCGCCACCGCCGCGCGCGCCAGCCGCCCCGCTCACCTGCCCCACCTGCAGGACGCGGCGGGCCCGGCGGTGCCTCCCGCGCTGGCGCTTGCAGGGCCGAGCGGTCGCGAAATTCACTCCTCTCTTACCCAAGATGGCCTTTGAATGCTTTGTGGGGTTGCAGGAGGAGGAGAGAAGGAGCCAACGGAGATCAGGGTCTGTGACCCTCACCCCCTCGCCGGCTGTCCCAGCGGGTCACTAGAATGACCAGGTTCCTCGAGAGCGGAGGTGCGTGTCTCCGAAAGCGCGTGTCCCCAAGAGTCAGGTCAAATTACGGAGCATGTTATTGGAAAGCAATGCACACTAAACTGCGCAATTGCTGGGGGTTCCCCCCACCTTTTTTTTTTTGAGGAGGAGGAGGAGTGGAGAGTGGGGTCACAACTGGCGCTACCCCGGCTTCGCTTTGGGCGGTGCTCCGAGCACCCTGTGGTGCCAGGGATTTAACCAGAGTTGTTTGCATGCATGCAAAAAAGACGCCTAGATACTCTGGGATTTTACTGGCTCTTCACCCACTCCTCTCCCTCCTCCTGCAAGTAAGATTGATAGGTGCCTGCTCTAACAAAGCCAAGAGCGCTTCTCGGATGGCACACTTGGCAGTCCATGGCAGTTCTTAAGGCCAACTGGAGGGCCAGTGTAGAGAACTCCGTGTCCTCTGCTAACTTGTGCAAGAGCACTGGGAAGTGGTTCTCTTTTATTGCGCAGACAATGACCGTGTGGAGAAGCAGCCAGATGCCAGGACTGCGCTGAGTGGGATGGTCTGAGAAAACATACTAAATTCCAGCTCAATGTTGAAATTTAGGATCAGACTATTGTTTTTGATTAAAGGGGACCACTCCCAGTCATGATCTGCTGGAGGTGTGGGTGCTTGGGCTTTTGGTGGTGACCCACCCTAGGGAGCCTTTAATTTTTTTTTTTAAGGGAGCTTTTCCTGAGCATCCCAGACAATTAGGCAGCACCCCTGGCCTCTCTAGCCACAATACACCGGGTAGTCTGTTTTCTTTCTCCGTAGTAGAACCATTTTCAAAAGCCTTCAAACTCAGCGCTAGGAGATCTGAAAGGGCTTGAGCATGTGCATGTGTGTATGTAGAAAGGCCAGGTTTGAACCTTCTCATTTCATGGTTCCTTGTCCACCCAGGAGCAGATGTGGCCCAGAAACAAAACAAAAATCCAAAGGGTCGTCATCTGCCTGCCCCACCACCACTGACTGAAGCCCTGATCCCTGTTTTGCCTCTGGTTATGGTCACTGGGCACTTTGAGAAAATAAGGGTCAGGGAGGGCAGACTGCTGCCTGAGAAAGATCTACAGGAGGGGCTGGAAAGAGAATACAGTGAGTAGGGTGCTTGCCTCGCGTGCAGCCAACCCGAGTTCAATTCTCAGCATCTGTGGTCCCCTGAGCACTGCCAGAAGTGATTCCTGAGTTCAGACCCAGTAGTAAGACCTGAATATCACGAGTGTGACCCCAAAACAAAAAACAAAACAAAGATCCACAGACCAGGAATATAGCTCAGCTGTAGATTACTTGCCTTGCATCTGTGAGGCCCAAACAAAAGAAAGGACCACTCTCCTAGGACATAAGGACCAATCCTACTCTAAGTGTCTCCGTAACATGCTGAATGTCAAAAGTGGGGTTTTAAATCTTCCAGGTACATGCATCAGAAATGTTTGAAATTATTCACTGGGGGAAATCAGGCAAAGCCAGATTGAGGGGCATTCTACAAAACAACTTCACTGAACTTGAAGACAATATGAAGAAAAACAAAGGTAAAATCATTGCAAATGACAGAGACCATAATGACACTCAGAGAACAAGTTGACTGATCAAGTTGAAGAAAATAAGTTATAAAAGAGATTTAAGAGACAATCAGCTCTGTATGAGGAATCTATATTAGTTTATTGAACCATCATTACATGTTGACAATGGCAACATGTAATGATGGTTACATGTTACACCAATGGTTATACCAATATATTATTTGGGGCCATACCCAACAGTGCTCAGGAACTTCTCCATGCCCAGTGCTTGGGGGATCCTGTGGTGCTGGGATCAAACTGGACCTCATCAAGCATTCAAAGCATGTGCTCGGCCTTTTGGGCTTTCTCTTTGCCCCAACAATGGGTATTTATGAGTGTAGGATAACATTAGTTTGTCCTTTCTGCCTTGCCACAGGGAGCTTAGGTTTATTGTTTTACTCCTATCACTGTGCTCCCATTCCTCTGTGTTTATACGTAAACTCTTTCTTTGTGCTCAGCTTCTCCACTGGTCAGTTACCTTTATCTACCAATCAGACTCTGTTAACTTATAAATATTGCTTTTGTCTTCTCCTTATGTCCTTTGCATAGTTAATTCAGAGCAATATCCTTTTTGTACAGACACAGGAAGGCAGTTAATGCTATGCTTTTGTAACTTGGCAGTTAAATGACTCCAAATAATATTCACTCCAGGGATCTCTTCTATCAACTTACGCCTCAGTTGCCCTTACTTCCTAGCACCCCAAAAGCGGGGTCCTGATGAGGGACTGGATGGACCCAGGGCAAACTGAACTACCCTGGCATCAAAATGGGCCAGGCCCAAGTGCCATAATACTTAGCTATGAGTTATGAGCATGGTCATGGACAAATTCTGTCATGATCCAAAAAATAACAACTAGATAGGACCCTGCTAGGGTTAGGAAAGATTAATCTGGCATGAGCACTGTAGTCTCAGATCTATAGCGAGATGTCGCCAGGACAGCCACCCTACAAGTTTAATGTATCTCTTACTGTGTCCATACAAAATAGCTAATATTAAGAAGTAGAATTAAGATAATTAAGGGGGCTGGAGCAATAGCACAGCAGCAGGTAGGGCGTTTGCCTTGCATGTGGCCGACTGGGTTTGAGTCCCAGCATCCCATATGGTCCCCCAAGCACTGCCAGGAGTAATTCCTGAGTGCATAGCAGGGTGTGACCCAAAAAGCAGAAAAAAAAAAAAAGATGTTAATTAAGGTATTGAACTAAGGAGAGGAGAAACACCCTGTAGTGGTATTGAAGTGGTATTTTGCCCTTGACCAGAAGAAAGGCTCTCATATGTTGATTGGACCTGAGTGTGGTGGCTACCCCCAATGTGAGGAGTCGAGGAGTCGGAGAGAGAGTAGAGAGAGACCAAGGCTGGATGGAGCCCTGAGAGATGAACTTGAGAAACAGAAGGAGACGGGAATGAGGGGCAGTGTGAGACTAGAATGGGGGACTTGGCACGTGGGGAGAATGGAATAAAGGAAAACTGATCACCAATCAGCCTGGCCCTTGTTTCTTCCTTCGTCCGTTCATGGCATCAGCCTTCCTGGGTGACGGAGTGGCACAAGACCACCGAACACAGGCGGTGAGAGAGAGCCGGGAGTCTCCCCAACCACCCGGTGATTACACAATAAGAATCTCCTCATTTCTAGGACATCAGTGTTAGACTATTTCAGGACAAGGCCTAACTACAACTTATTTTCAAATGACTCAGAAATATGTTTAGAGGAAATGTAGCCAAATTATTATTAAGAAATAGTGAATGTAGGTAAGAGGCTTTCAAATTTATTTGGCTTACTGTCCCCTTTTCAGACCAAAAAAAAATAAAACCCAAAAACAACATTTGTGACCCTGTGGAAATTACATTCTTTAAGTAGTCAAGCAGAAATCATTCCACTATTGCACACAAGGCTATTAAATTAAAGCTCTCTAGATCCTTCAAACTGTGTGACCCCACCCCAAGGCGAGAGAGTGTACAGTACTTAGGAAGACTAAGTACTAAGTGTGTGTGTGTGTATGTGTGTGTGTGTTTATTGAGCAATTCTTCCAGCTTTTCTGAAAACAAATTTTCAGAGCACTGCCCGAGCACTGTCAGGAATGACCCCCTGAGCAGTACAGGGAGTGATCCCCAGTATTTTTTTTGTAAATTAAAGAAAAAAGCGACTGAAGAGATAGTATAGTGGGGGAAGCACTTGCTTTGCATGATCCCCTAAGCTCCCCCGGGAGTGATCCCTAAGCACAAAGTCAGGAGTCAGTGCCATTCCCTTCCCCTATGAAATAATAACCCCACAGTATCACCAAGTATCCTGTCTGCTTTTTTTTTCCCTTTGTCTTGTTTTAGTGGTGCTTAGGACTTACCCCATCTCTGCATTCAGGGATCACTTCTGCTGGTACTCAGGGAACTGTATGGGGTGCAAGGATTGAATTTGGGTTGGCTGCGTATAATGCAAGAACCTACCCACTGTACTATTGCTTTAGCCCCCATATGCATTTAAAAAAAATTACATTATAATTTTTTGGGGCAGGGGAGGCACACATGGTACTGCTCACTTACTCCTTAAATTCAAGAAATCCTATTTTGTTTGGGGCCCATACTCAGTGGTGCTCAGGGATCAAATACTGGTGATA